AAAGGTTGCGGTAAAAATTTGGTTGTGTGAGCCTCGCCCATTGTCACTCGCTATTCTCAAGGAGCAGTGTTCCCATCAGTAACGTGATTGATTCGTCGGGCTCATTAATTTGGAACCTTTTCTTGGTCAAGGTTCATGAAGAATTTGTCGTCTTACTGTCCCTATTTGTAAACAAACCAGTAATGCTGTCAAACTGCGGAGTACCACAAGTATAATAGATTGATCATTCGGTATCAAAGGTGTTTGGCCACACTGTTGAGACATCCAAAGACATATGCGATTCTCTTTCTTCATTTTGCCAAAACTTACGTACAAATCTTGTGTTTTAAGGATTCCTTGGCGAGAGCCGCTACGCTTCAAGAGTGCGATCGAGCGAGAGACCCTGAAGGGATTCTAAGTTTCCTGGAGACTACTATGAACATTGAGGATTACTTGGAGGATATTACACATATGGTAAGTCATCTGCCATTTTTTAAACTTTTTTTTCCGTTGCTGCGGAATTCGGCTCAGAAAGGTGTTGTTTTAGACAGGTGTTCCCGTGGATGATCTTGATTTGGACGACATGGAACTGCAGAAGTGCAATATTCTTTACAATGAAGGCAAAGGTGCACATAATTACGATGCATATGATCCTTTCGCTCATTCGGATCTCATTGTTCGTGAACAAATAAATCCCGATTCCTATTGTAAGTTTGCATATCAGTGCTCTACAGTTCTCTCGCTTTACTTTTGTCTTTTTTTAGTAATTGATTCGGCAACGCCTACTGCAACGCCCAGTCCCGCACTAGCAGAAATTAAGAAGGAGCCAGAGTGGGAAAGTGAGTTTATTTGTTGGAGAGAGCGTTAATATAGTTTTTAAAGTCTTCCACAACCGTCTGAATGTCTAAATAAGTGTATGAATTACAGACAGTCAGCCATCCAACTCATCAACTCGTTCGTCAAAGAGGTCGACGCGAAGCGTGCAGTCTGTGGAGCCTTATGTGCCCACTACTACAGCTCGCAAGTATCGACTAAAGAGTCCGCAAGAGCGGAACAACATTTCGTACAAAGTCAAACGGCAAAGGAACAATGATGCCGTCCGTAGGAGTCGATCGAAGGTGGGTTCATTTTGAAAAGCTTGTTAACATTGGATGAGTTATGTGCAAACACAGTGTTTATTGCAGGCAAAGCAATTGCAAATGATGAAGGAGAAGCAGCTGGAGGAAGCCCTAACGGAGGTGGCTGAATTGAAGGAAGAACTTCGTGTTACCAAAGAAAGACTATCTCGTTGCCGCTGCCGACAGTAATTCGTTCTATCTAATTTGTCTGTTTATCTGGTCATCGCAGCTTTTACATTGTATACTATTGCATCTTGTATATTTTTTTACATTATCGCATAGTTTGGGAAGTTTGCATCTTTTTATTTCAAGAATTAATTAATCAGCAATGGTTTGCTTTAAGCGAACCTGCACCTAATATAACATTGTTATTTGTGTACAGTGTTTGAATCGCTATGCCAACTGTGGTAAGTATGGCTAGCTTGTTTTGCATCATGTGGCACTTAGCGTTCTTTTTGTATGTCCGGTCAGGATGTAGTTGAACATTTTAGAATGTTGTCCTAATTGTTCTCTATGTCAGGATTGACCAGCTACTTCGTTAGAATGTACTCAGAGCTTGAATAGATCGAGTTGTGTTGATCAATGTGCATTTTAAAGGTATTATTGTGCTTCCTCACATAATAAAATTATTAGAAAAGGAAACACTTGTGAAAGAGCAGCGTGAAGGCAGGGTCAACGGTTCGTTTGTATAAATGAGCGAGCGGTATATGGAGACCTTAGAATTCACGTTTAAAAGGTAAGGCCGATGTCAGACTTAGCGAATCGCGCGATTCGCAAAGTCTGACATCAGCCTAATTAAGAGGCTTCGTGCTATGAAATCCTCAATCGGTTTCTCGAGGTTGATAACCAATCAATGAAACTAAAGCAGATAATATCGCCCTACTTTCATGAAAAAAATACCATGGATAGAATTTTTTTCTGTGTTTCTGTAAGTACAAAAGACAAAAACATAGTGAGTGTCAATGAAGAATTCCGACAGGATGTGGGCTACTCTTTTGTTGTTCTGAGCAGTCAAGGATCGTGGATGGAGCGGAGTGTGTGCTGAGTATAATTATCAGGGTGCCGATAAATCTTCGAATGCATTAAGGAGAACGACCAAGTTATCGTGCGATTTCTAGATTGGAACGTTCATTATCATGCAGAACCTTGATCTGAGCTTGCTCATCTTCAGGAAGAAGTATGGCGCGAATTGACATGATGACGAAATGAAAACAGCAAAGTCGGATTGAAATCGGTGGAAATTCGGCGCCAAAATCTGATCTTCTTCAAGTGTGCACATACTTTTGAAACAAAGAAAAAAATTCATCCAAAAATTTTTTCCGAAAGTGAGGCGATATTATCTGCTTTGCTTCCATTGATAGTTATCGACTACGAGGAATCGATTGATATGAGTGCCATACCGTGAACCCACTTAGTTACCTTTTTACCTTAAGGATTTTGAGGTTTCCACATACTTTTGAGGTTGTGTTGTAGTAAACAAAATTCGTAACTCCTTTAACCTAAGAAACAGCTTTGCCTTCCCTTCACTATTGTCGTTTTTGCGACAGCGTCCCTAACAACAGTGTCATTCTCAACGAGGTATTAAGGGAGAAGCGGTAGATAGAGGAGCCTTTGCAGCGCGTGTGCACATGTGGCCCCGTTCCTTGCGGAGATGCACTTTCATTCTTTGTACTGCTTTCAAATACGCCCTTCTCATGAAGGTAGAGGAATGGAGCGACTGAACCTGCAAAGAATATTTATATCATGTTTTTTTTCTGCTGCGCTACACCCTCTTACTCCTATCTGCACCAATGCCACTGACCCCACGAGTACGACCCCCATGACCCACCCTGACAAATACGACCCCTCTGTCGAGGATTTCCTCGACCGATATTCACCCTGAGGAGAGTGAAGTGAGCGAGAGTGGAAGTAATGGGAGTTTGAGCCGAAGGTTCCGAACGAGTAGGAGTCCCCCATCGTGGCCGATCCAATAGCTAATTATATGCGGTTCATGACGTTACCAGAGGTTCAAACGTGCTCTGGTCAAGAGTCAGGAACGGTTCTGCAAG